TCCCAAACACAAACTAAAATAGCTTACTAAAATAGTCAAAAAGTCAAAAAGCCTCTAAAATAGTCACTTTCCAAACACCAACTTTATGATATTAGGTTTAAATATTATTTTTATTTTATTTTATTATAAGAATATAATTAATAAAATTATTCTGTGAGAATTTAATCTGATTATAAATTAGTTACTTTTGACTTATTATTATTTGATAAATCTCTTCACAAATGGGGAGAGCCCTTCCCAAGAATTCGAGGGTCACCTTCATTTCATTTTACCAACCAATGTACACAAAGACATATTTTGGCAATTAGGTTAAAACTTAGCTTTTTAATTTTTTCTTTTATATCACATAATCTCTTTATTTTTTTATACTTTCTTCAAAAAAAAATTCAAAAAGCTGACTTTTAATCTACTTCTCATAATAAACCAAACATTTCAAGAAAATTTCAATGTACATGTAGTGAAGTTGCAAATGTTTCTGTTCACCTTGAAAAAAAAAAAATTACAAAGATAGGATAGTAAGCCTCTGTTTGGGAAGATAGGTTGGGTTGGGTTGGGTTGGGTTGGGGGCTATTTTAATCACAAAGAGACAAAATAGATTTTTTAGTCCAATAAGACAAAACATCACATTCAATCCATAATCATTACATTCTTTCTTTCACAAAAAGTCAAAAAAATAAAAAAAAGTCCTTCCGAAACGAAGTTTTTTAACCCTTGGCTAAAATAACTAAAAATCCAAAAAATCAACCCACTTCCCAAACGAACCCTAATTATATGGCTAAATAAGGTTTCCTGCCCTGATCCACTCTAATAAGAACCAAAACCATATCAAGTTTCGATCAAGAATTGGTTTTATTCTAATAATAAGATATTTTGTTTATACTTCATATATATATATATATATATAATTTATATGTATTTCGCTCACATTAATGTCTTGTTATATATAAATTAAAAAGCTATCTTTCATATGTTGTATTTGTATACATGATGTGTAACAAAATACAAAGGCAGTCAACATTTTATATTAAATAGAAAAGAAGATTTACAAACAATCATATGAATCTCACATAGCACATGAGGTAATTGAAATTACAACATTAAGATATAAAAATGACTCAGGTACTAAGTGTACTCAAGTAGAGTGACATTTTCGTTTTGAATAATGATAATAATTATATAATATTACGAACTTGATCCAGAATTCACTCTGATTGTAAATTTTTTATGCTCAATCCCATTCACCTTGCTTGGTTTTTAGTTTTTCAAAATATTTTTCAGAAAATTTTATTTTTTTATTTTTCGTGTTTTTTTGTTTTTACTGAATTTTTTAATATTTTAAGCAATTTTTTTACTTTTTATACACACTTAACATAAATACACCTAAAAAGTAAAAAAATTGTAAAAAAAATCTTTTAAAAATTCACTAAATACCAAAAATACAAAAAAAATACAAGAATTCTGTACATGTTTTATATTTTTATGTATTTATTAATTTTTTAAAATATTTTTTCACAATTTTTTTACTTTTTAGATACATCTAAGTAATGTGCATCTAAAAAAGTAAAAAAAAATGTTTAAAATTAAAAAAAATATTCACTAAAACAAAAAAATACAAAAACTAAAAAAATTAATTTTCAAAAAATTTAATTCAGAAAATTCAAACCAAACACCGTGATTAAGTTTTGGATTGAGACGGCATGATTTGACATTTCTAAAAATTGAATGAGAACAAGGGACAACAATCAGATTCCAAACTCGCCCACTATTCTTAGTAGCAAAGATGCCCAAAAGCTGATGGGCGTCCTTGACCATTGCCAGGTATTAGCCCAACCCAATGCCCATGTGGTTAGTGTATAATAGTGGGGTTCAATACTTTATAATTAATGCTTAGTTGAAATGGAGCAACATTTTTTTATTGATGTAGGGTAATGGTACAATAACAGCCAATAATTTTTCAAATTGGCAATAGAAAATTCTGCATTTTTAATAGGTACACGATTCTTTATTCTTGAATTTATTTCTACTTAAAACATAATTTTCAGTCGGAAGATTATATTTAAGGTTAAGGTTATTTTTATCTCGAGATTCTTATATAATTATTTGATTAATAGTGTAATAAAATATGGGAACAAAAGAATGTGAGGATATAATATCAGTTACCAATACAATTGTGACATGTAAAATAGTACCAAATAAATTATGATACGAAAATTAATTTTTTTTATGTGAAAAAAAATCTAATCATAGAACAAAATATAATCTTGTCACATGGGGGCGACGCCTATATGAGACGATTGTGTCTAATTTTAGCTATGTTTGGCTAGTTTAAACATAAATAAATAAATAAATTAAAAATGTTAATAAGATAAAATATTATATTTAAATCATAATCATTTTATTTTTTCTCTCATAAAAATAATAAAAAATACATATCGAATGAGACTTTTTAATTCCGAATTAAAATAACAAAAAAAAAATAAATAAAAATAAAAAGTCAACTCACATTCTAAACTAAAACTTTATAATAGCTAATGTTCACTTTTAATTTTTCTAAGAAAATAAAATAATATTGTTCTAATAAACAATTGTTTAATTTTATGTCAATTCAAGGGTACATAAATAAGCGCATGAATCATGTTCACTGTTGTCCGGATTTTGGAATCCATATCCTCTCTTCTCTCTCTCTTGCTTCTCTGTTTCATTGCATTGATCGTTAGTTGATGTTGAAGCAGAGTTTTGGTTTCTTTTATTTTTCATTGGTCTCTGTTTTCCTTTATTGTAAGCAGACTGGTTCTGGGTTTGCGTTTAGGGCCACTTTCATTGTAATTTGACTTCCTCTTAGTTGAGAGAATATGATCAGAAGTTGTAAAACTTGAGAGTAGCTCTAACTCTTTTTTGAGCTTCAGAAGGAAAGGCTCATATTTGAAGTTTTATAGTTACTCCTTTCAATTATGAAACGGTTCAGTATTCCAGAAACTTTGGGTGCTATGATCTACCCAACCCAAGGTAATTCAAAATTCTACAACAAAACCCAATAAATCTCTGTTTCTTGTATTCGATTCAGGCTTGATTCTTTATTTTTCTAAACCTCGCTGTTTGTTCATGAAAGTGAAGGAACAAAGTTTTGAATCTTGTGTTTGGTGGTGTTTTAGTTTCGAAATAATTTAGAACCAAGTTGTTTTGGAGATTTTCGTTATCAAGGGAAACTCAGAGACTCATAGCTTCACATTCTTCAATTGTATAATATTATACAATTTCCCTCTTTTCTGTTGTTCTTTATTTTCTTTCAAGTTGTGAGTACAAAGTTTAATACTCTGTTTCTTGATAAAACAGGGAAGATAAGTTAATGTTTTTCAAGGGAAACTAAAAGACTCAGTATCTCATTTCTTCCATTGTTCTGTGTTTTCTTGTTTACCAAACAGAAGGAAATGAACTCTCTTTCATTCCTCAATTCCTCAATTTTGGATATTATAGATTCTTTTCTATTGTTCTTCATTTTTTCTTCAAGTTAAAAAACTATATTGTTTCTTTTTAAAACAGGGAAGACAAATTGATGTTTCCAAGGGAAACTTGAAGACACAGTGTCACTTTCTTTTACTGTTCTATATTTTATTGTTAGCCAAACAGAAGGAATGAAATTCATGTGAATTCCTCAAATTAAAGCACTTCTTTACATACTATTTATTATTTCTATTGTTTTTCACTTTCTTTTAATTTGTTAGAAGTAAAAACTCTGTTTCTTGATTAAAACAGAAAAGAAGAAGAATCGAAAGAATAATTTCGCATACAGTACGGAATTTCAGGCAATGTTAGACGGTTTAGACGATGAGTACGAGGAATGTACAGAGGAAAGCAGCCAAAGCAGCGAGAGGAAGAGGAGATTGAGTCTTAATCAAGTGAAAGCATTGGAGAAAATATTCGAGGTTGATAACAAGGTAGAGCCAGAGCAAAAGGTGAAAATCGCCGAGGAACTAGGCCTTGAACCGCGACAAGTAGCAATTTGGTTTCAAAATCGACGTGCCCGTTGGAAGACCAAGCAATTGGAGAGAGATTATGGACTGCTTAAATCCAATTATGATGCTCTCAAAGTTGACTATCACAAACTTGAGAAAGAGAAAGAGGGTTTAATTGCAGAGGTAACTCTCTTTAACGGTATTTTAACTGTATTTTTATTTTTGAAGTATGTAGCATTGTTGTTTTGAGTGTAGTGTATCATGAATTAAGTCGATTACGAAAGTTTTAAGACAGTTTATTTATGTGTTATGTTTTTGGTGTCTGTATTGCAGCTAAAAGGGTTAAGAGCAAAGCTTGGAGAGGAAAACACAGACAGCAATCACTCTGTTAAAGAAGATGCACTGTTTTTGGAGCCAGACAACAGTGTATTAGAACAGAGCAAGGCCTCTCTCACTGCAATCTGTGGAAAACCAGAACAAACCAACCTTGGAAACAATGGAAACTTATTGGAGATTAAAGGCTATTTGGGTATTAAACATGGGTTATCCGATAACAATCACAGTGGAGTCTTTAATGAAGACAGTAACCTAAATGCTCAGCTACTCTCTTCTATGAATTCATCTTTGATGAATTGTTTTCAGTTCTTGGATTCAAGAGCAGTTGCAGAAAAAGGGTATTCACACCAGTTTGTGAAGATGGAAGAGCAGAGTCTGTTTGAAACAGAGGACTCTGCCAATATCTTCTCAGTTGATCAAGCACCATCCCATGTTAATGTAAAATGTAAATTGTAAATAGTAAACCACCCACTCCACCTAACACCTCAACTACCACCTTCACCTACTCCCAAATCCTCTCCTATATAAATCCTTGTAATATACACAATATACATATCAATCAATACACATATCAATCAATAATACATCAGTTTTAACATGGTATCAGAGCAGGTTTAGAACCTAATATTTTCGCTTGAAAATAAAATAATATTGTTCTAATAAATTGTTTAATTTTATGTCAATTCAAGGGTACATAAATAAGCGCATGAATCATGTTCACTGTTGTCCGGATTTTGGAATCCATATCCTCTCTCTTCTCTCTCTCTTGCTTCTCTGTTTCATTGCATTGATCATTAGTTGATGTTGAAGCAGAGTTTTGGTTTCTTTTATTTTTCATTGGTTTCTGTTTTCCTTTATTGTAAGCGGACTGGTTCTGGGTTTGCGTTTAGGGTCTCTTTCATTGTAATTTGACTTCCTCTTAGTTGAGAGAAAAGGATCAGAAGTTGTAAAACTTGAGAGTAGCTCTAACTCTTTTTTGAGCTTCAGAAGGAAAGGCTCATATTTGAAGTTTTACAGTTACTCCTTTCAATTATGAAACGGTTCAGTATTCCAGAAACTTTGGGTGCTATGATCTACCCAACTCAAGGTAATTCAAAATTCTACAACAAAACCCAATAAATCTCTGTTTCTTGTATTCGATTCAGGCTTGATTCTTTATTTTCTAAACCTCGCTGTTTGTTCATGAAAGTGAAGGAACAAAGTTTTGAATCTTGTGTTTGGTGGTGTTTTAGTTTCGAAATAATTTAGAACCAAGTTGTTTTGGAGATTTTCGTTATCAAGGGAAACTCAGAGACTCATAGCTTCACATTCTTCAATTGTATAATATTATACAATTTCCCTCTTTTCTGTTGTTCTTTATTTTCTTTCAAGTTGTGAGTACAAAGTTTAATACTCTGTTTCTTGATAAAACAGGGAAGATAAGTTAATGTTTTTCAAGGGAAACTAAAAGACTCAGTATCTCATTTCTTCCATTGTTCTGTGTTTTCTTGTTTACCAAACAGAAGGAAATGAACTCTCTTTCATTCCTCAATTCCTCAATTTTGGATATTATAGATTCTTTTCTATTGTTCTTCATTTTTTCTTCAAGTTAAAAAACTATATTGTTTCTTTTTAAAACAGGGAAGACAAATTGATGTTTCCAAGGGAAACTTGAAGACACAGTGTCACTTTCTTTTACTGTTCTATATTTTATTGTTAGCCAAACAGAAGGAATGAAATTCACTTGAATTCCTCAAATTAAAGCACTTCTTTACATACTATTTATTATTTCTATTGTTTTTCACTTTCTTTTAATTTGTTAGAAGTAAAAACTCTGTTTCTTGATTAAAACAGAGAAGAAGAAGAATCGAAAGAATAATTTCGCATACAGTACAGAATTTCAGGCAATGTTAGACGGTTTAGACGACGAGTACGAGGAATGTACAGAGGAAAGCAGTCAAAGCAGCGAGAGGAAAAGGAGATTGAGTCTTGATCAAGTGAAAGCATTGGAGAAAATATTCGAGGTTGATAACAAGGTTGAGCCAGAGCAAAAGGTGAAAATCGCCGAAGAACTAGGACTTGAACCACGACAAGTAGCAATTTGGTTTCAAAATCGACGTGCCCGTTGGAAGACCAAGCAATTGGAGAGAGATTATGGCCTACTTAAATCCAATTATGAAGCTCTCAGAGTTGACTATCACAAACTTGAGAAAGAGAAGGAGGGTTTGATTGCAGAGGTCTCTTAACTGTATTTTTATTTTTAAAGTATGTAGCATTGTTGTTTTGAGTGTAGTGTCTCATGAATTAACTTCATTATGAAAGTTTTAAGACAGTTTATTTTTGTGTTATGTTTTTGGTGCCTGTATTGCAGCTAAAAGGGTTAAGAGCAAAGCTTGGAGAGGAAAACACAGACAGCAATCACTCTGTTAAAGAAGATGCTCTGTTTTTGGAGCCAGACAACAATGTATTAGAACAGAGCAAGGCCTCTCTCACTGCAATCTGTGGAAAACCAGAACAAACCAACCTTGGAAACAATGGAAACTTACTGGAGATTAAAGGCTATTTGGGTATTAAACATGGGTTATCCGATAACAATCACAGTGGAGTCTTTAATGAAGACAATAACCTAAATGCTCAGCTACTCTCTTCTATGAATTCATCTTTGATGAATTGTTTTCAGTTCTTGGATTCAAGGGCAGTTGCAGAAAAAGGGTATTCACACCAGTTTGTGAAGATGGAAGAGCAGAGTCTGTTTGAAACAGAGGACTCTGCCAATATCTTCTCAGTTGATCAAGCACCTACCCTGCAATGGCACTTTTGAAGCCTAGGGCACAACTATGTTGATCCATAACATCAAAAAGAGAAAATTGATTAAGTTGTGAGGAAGTGAGAAAGTTACTAATTTTGTCAATTAAATTTCTACACTTGTTAGCAATTTATAGATAGAAAGTGAAAGAGAGGTTTCCACTAGGTCCAGAGTCTGTAGTGCTGAGAAGTAGTGGTGTTATTTTATGGTGACCTTTTTCATATGTGACAATGAGTTTTTGGTAGGTTTTATCTTACTGAAATACTATGTACTTGGGAAAAGTTAATTAAAAAATAAATAAATCTACTTTAGTCCCCGTACGTTCCTACCTTTTCATATGTAGAATTTTCAACACCCTATGCTAAGGCAGCCCTGCCATAAAATGGACCATTGGAATATAAGTGATCAGATGTGAAGGGCAATAAAATTTATATATTTTCTCTATTTACAAATGTGGTGGTTGAGATGTCTCTATTATATAATGGCTTGTTTTGGAAAGTAAGTCAAAAGCTAGTTGTTTGATATTTTTCTATTTTTTTTAAAAAAAATATGTGAAAAAATAAAAAAAAAAATTATGTGATATAAAAAAAAATCAGAATGTCAAAAAAGAAATTTTTAGGCAAGTTACCAAAACAAGTCAATTTGAACACTATTTCAAATACTGAAACTTCATTATTGTGTGTCATATGTTTGAAGGAGAAAATATTTGTAAAATTTATTAATTTATATTGTATTTTTCTACAGAGAGTCATGCTTATGCACGTGCAGCATTAGTGAAGTTTTATTTAAGGGTTGAGATTTAATTAAAATATAAATTGTCTTTCTAGTTTTAGAAATTACATTTCACTCTCTGAAATTTTTAATTTCATAATGAATTATCTCTTTTATTGATAAATCATCAAGCCAATTAATAAGTTTTAATGATGTTAGAAATATGTTTCAATTAATAAGTTAGGTAATTTTATTATTGTATAGGAAGGTAATTATGAATTTTAATTTTTTTGTTAATTCTGTTAAATAAAAAATTATAACAAAAAGATATTTGTAATTTTTTAAATTACAGGAGATAATATATACTTTAAACAAATCTCAAAGAGTGTATTTGTGATTTATCTTTTATTTTAATTATTAATAAGTGCAAAAGTATGATAATTAGCAATCGAAGAGAGGTTACGTTAAGAAAGAACACCTTTCTTCAAAGCAAACTATCATAATACAAAGAGCAATGTTAAGTATCATAAAAAATATTTCACGAAAATAATCATGAAAGATTTTTGACTCTTAGATTATATATACAATAAATTATAAAGTGTAATACAAAGATAGAAATTTGTTCATGATTATTTACATGAAGCATACTGCTTGAGTCATGGTCATGACCGAAGGTCCACTCCTAACGGCGACACCATAAATTTTTTTTAGAGGGTTCATAATGGATACATTAAGAATTTTTTTAAGATAAACATTTAATTTTTTTTTTTTTTAGACTTTTCAAATCATACACATAAATAAATAAAATAAAATTCTAATATTTTGATATCATTGTTTCAAAAAATAAAATGTAGATATAAAAATTTACATAGATATATTTTATTTTTATTACTGACATGATAAAAAAAATGAAGAAAACTCTTTTAATTCAAATTGAAATAACAATAAAGTGTTGATCAACATTTACATTCAAGTGGTACACTTGTTGGGAATTGCAAAATCACACAATTTTGTCAAAGAGATACTTTGCCTTCCTTTCAGATTTGGGTTGACTATTTGACTTTTTTGTTATTTTAGCCTAACATTAAAAAGTCTTTTTAACTTTTTTAATTTTTGTGAGAGAAAAAATGAAATGATTATGATTTTGATGTGATATTTTATTTTATTGGGTTAAAAAATATATTTTCTCTTTTTGTGACTATTTTAACTCAAACTCCATATGCCAAACAATGCCTTTGTAGGAGAAGTAGCAAATTAGAAGAATAGTGAAAAAGTAATTGCACTATACATGAAATCTTTTGTGGTAAAACTGTAAGGGTCTGGCTTTGGTCCAGTCCGTCATCGGACTGGATCGTGTTGTTGGGTTCGTGGGCCCCATTACGGGTCCCATTTTAAAAATCTAAACCGTTTAATATGTAGAACTCGTCGAGTACTATATGCATGTGAAAAATCACATTGATCGGATATCGATAGCTATGTGATTAAATCAGTTTTATATAAAAAAAAAAATTGACGGTGAAAAAATTAACGGATGCTAAAAAAACTATTTTGTTCACATAGCTATCGATATCCGATCAATGTGATTTTTCACATGCATATAGTACTCGACGAGTTCTACATATTAAACGGTTTAGATTTTTAAAATGGGACCCGTAATGGGGCCCACGAACCCAACAACACGATCCAGTCCGATGACGGACTGGACCGAATTTCTCTGGACCAATTTTCTCTTTGAAGTTGAATTTTCTCTGGAAGTCTAGGGAATGACTTCTTTTCTTTCTTATCTATGCTAAGGTATGGCAAAATCTTACTGTCAACCACCTCATCTTGTTGAACTTGATCTACAAAGAGCACTAGGATTAGCAAACAGAATTTTGATAGTAACCCTTCATGAAAAGATATTTGTAAGAGAACATATAAAATGCACGATGATGCAGAGTTTCCTGGATTGTGTGAATTTTCTCTGAACTATCTGAATTTTCTCTGGATGTCTAAATTTTCTCTGGACTATCTGAATTTACTCTGGATAAAGAGAATTTCTCTGGATGTCTGGAGAGAATTTCTCTGGAAAGTCCAGAGAAATTCTCTGGACCGAATTTTCTCTGGATCGAATTTTCTCTAGATTGATATTGAAGGACCTTAGACATTATGAAAATATTGAGTGTCCTTTATACTATAAATTCTTAATATCAGGGACCTTAAAAAAAATCCCCCTAAAAAATATTTCACGAAAATAATCATGAAAGATTTTTGACTCTTAGATTATATATACAATAAGTTATAAAGTGTAATACAAGGATAGAAATTTGTTCATGATTATTTTCATGAAGCATACTGTTTGAGTCACGGTCATGACCGTAGGTCCACTCCTAACGGCGACACCATAAATTTATTTTAGAGGGTTCATAATGGATACATCAAGAATTTTTTTAAGATAAACATTTATTTATTTTTTTTTTAGACTTTTCAAATCATACACATAAATAAATAAAATAAAATTCTAATATTTTGATATCATTGTTTCAAAAAATAAAATGTAGATATAAAAATTTACATAGATATATTTTATTTTTATTACTGACATGATAAAAAAAATGAAGAAAACTCTTTTAATTCAAATTGAAATAACAATAAAGTGTTGATCAACATTTACATTCAAGTGGTACACTTGTTGGGAATTGCAAAATCACACAATTTTGTCAAAGAGATACTTTGCCTTCCTTTCAGATTTGGGTTGACTATTTGACTTTTTTTGTTATTTTAGCCTAACATTAAAAGTCTTTTTAACTTTTTTAATTTTTGTGAGAGAAAAAATGAAATGATTATGATTTTGATGTGATAATTTATTTTATTGGGTTAAAAAGTATATTTTCTCTTTTTGTGACTATTTTAACCCAAACTCCATATGCCAAACAATGCCTTTGTAGGAGAAGTAGCAAATTAGAAGAATAGTGAAAAAGTAATTGCACTATACATGAAATCTTTTGTGGTAAAACTGTAAGGGTCTGGCTTTGGTCCAGTCCGTCATCGGACTGGATCGTGTTGTTGGGTTCGTGGGCCCCATTACGGGTCCCATTTTAAAAATCTAAACCGTTTAATATGTAGAACTCGTCGAGTACTATATGCATGTGAAAAATCACATTGATCGGATATCGATAGCTATGTGATTAAATCAGTTTTATATAAAAAAAATAGACGGTGAATAAATTAACGATTGATAGAAAACTGTTTTGATCACATAGCTATCGATATCCGATCAACGTGATTTTTCACGACATATAGTACTCGACGAGTTTTACACATTGAACGGTTTAGATTTTCAAAAAGAGACCCGTGTTGAGCCCCCACAGGTCCAACAGCACGGTCCAGTCCGATAGTGGACTGGACTAAAGCCAGGCCCTAACTGTAACGCACATGATGAACTTGCACTATGCACAAAAATGATTTACACCATGCACACAGAAAACTTGCACCATCATGAAAATAAAAATATTTTTTCACTACACCATTGAAATGCAATTTCCCCTACTTTGTACAGGGTGAGGAAGTAAAACTTCAAAACATGTTGTGTATTCAATTCACCAAGCATATATATTGATTAAATGGTTATGAACTGGGTTGGGTTGGTTGTTCAAGAAAGTGAGTTGGGTGAGTGTTCAAACAAACTAGGTGTTCGGAAAAGTGGAATAGGCTATTTAACATAATATCGTAAACTAAATTACATATAATAATAATAATAATTATTGAACATCCAATGTCACATGTAGAGACTGCCTTTCCTAAGTCCCTTCCCTCATGATCCAAAAAATAAGAACATCTTTCTATTAAACAAAGAAACGTAAGATATCTCACAAGATATCTCACAACAACTGCTAGCATGAGGAGATTCGAACTCAAAGATAGGGCTGATCCTGGACATAGGAGGGTAAGGCAGTCGTTTAATGCTACAAATTTTTATTCAGCTTCTTTGATTTTAATTTTTAGAAAATAGTTTTCAGAAATTTTACTTTTTTATTTTTTATATTTTAATATTTTCAATTAATTTTTTTAATATGTTAAGTAATTTTTTTTTTTTACTTTTTAGACACACCTAACTTAAATACACTTAAAAAGTAAATATTTGTGAAAAAATATTTAAAAAATACACTAAATACAAAAAAAATAAAATCAGTACTTTTTTCATATTTTTGTGTATTTATTAATTTTTAAAAATATTTTTTCACAAATATTTTACTATTTAGATACATTTAAAAAAATAAAAAAATTACTTAAAAGTAAAACAAATTCACTAAAAACAAACAAATATGAAAAACAAAACACTGAATTTAGAAAACTGAAGCCAAATACACTGGAAGTGCAAAAGAATTTACCCATTACATTGAGTCCAATGTTTTTTTTTTTTTTTTTCCCCCCGCGGATTCAAAAAATCAATCCAAACCTATCGGATTGGACTGGACTGGATCGGATTACGGATTTCACGGATTCCTTGCTCAGCCCTAGTGGCATAGCAGGTCCCGTGGTATTTTGAAAGGAGTTTTTTTTTTTTGAGTCTTTTTTTATAATTTAAACTGTTTATTTTATACAGTCTGTTGAATATATTATTCTTGTAAAAAAACCAAGTTAATTGAAAATTTGTAACCCTATGATCCATTCTTAATTATTTAAAAAAAATTTATCAAAATCATGTTAACTGTTTATTTTTAAAAAAAACTAAATGTGCTCTTGACATGAAGTTATAGATGTCCAATCAATTTGATTTTTTGCATGAATGATCTACTTAACAAATCATAATGATTCATATTATCTGAAAAGACTTGGAAAGATCCCTGATCGGGGCACCACAGAACCCATTGTGGCTTATTCACAACAGGATCCATAGGTCCATGCAAGGGAGCATTATGTCTTATGCCGCAATGTTCACTTGCGCCATATACGAACCCACTTGCACCTCCATAAAAGTCGGGTGGAATTAGGATTTTAAAAATAAATTTTCTATTCAACAAATCCTACCATATGAACAGTTTAGATTATTTAAAAATACTCAGAAAAATTTCCTATTGAAGCACCACAGAACTTGCTGTGACTTATTCACAATAGGATCCAAGTGAGTATTATGTCTTATGCCGCAATGTTCACTTGCACCGTATACGAACCCACTTGCACCTCCATAAAAGTCAGGCAAAACTAGGATTTTTGATTGGGGAGCAGAGATTGTCTTCTCTTTCAAATTCTTTTGATACATATTTTTTCACAACAGTACAATTTCAAAAGCATAATTAATTCATAAATTTTATCACATTTGCTTATTATTAAATACTTTTTGTTTCGACTCTTTTTTCTTGAATTTAAAACTTATAATATTCATGGTGTTAATTATATAATGATGTTAAATTATGACAATCACGTGCTTTTAAGAAATGCCATAATTTTATTCATTCTTTTAAAATGCGCAAATTATAAATGATATTAATGAATATGTGACTAAAATAATATAAAATGAATATTTATTATAAAATCCTTATCATCGCTTTCACTTAAGATGAAAAAGATGATCTAATAAAAAATAGAAAAATATGTAAAGAGTGAATGAAAATGATGATATAAGAGGTGCAATGTCGCGGCCCGAACCCCGCCCCATAAGGGTTAGTGAGGTGGCCGGCCAGTAATCTGAAATTATCAAAGACCTTCCTGTATAAATCAAAATACAAGTGGGGATAGCAGAAGCTTATACCATATATACAACAAATAGTCCATTGAGCTGAGAATCTATATGACCAAACTCAAAACCCTATCTCATTTGAATGTGAAATCTCTATTTTAAGTCTTGATTTTAAACAATTGAAGAGGTATTCCAAGAGGTTTAGTTAATTTATGCATACCTTGAGCTAGATTCTTGACTTTTCCCTTCAATTTTTCCAAGTTTCCAAGCCTCTAAGTTGTTCTCCTTCTTTCCTTTTTGAAGCTCTCTAGAACTCTCTTGTTCTTTCTCTCTCTCTCTCTCTCTCCCTACATTTTTGTTTTGTTTTGTTGAGTCTAAGGCCCAACTAAAGCTCATCTGTATATATAAAATGAACTAACCAAGGGGTGAATTAATTGAATCCAATTACTTCAATCTGATTCAAATTTTTACCAAACGTCACATTCGGCCCCAAAAATTATGTTGATCACAAACATGTACTCAATTTTGGTTTCTGACGCCTCTAAGACCCTCAATTTCCAATTTAAAGTTGTAATTTCAACTGGTCTTCCTACAAGTAACAGATATAAATGCAAATCTGTATAATTTACACTATTAGAAATGCAATTTTCATATCAATCACATTATCTATTAACACATAAACATGCAATTAGATAACTAATTAATTACATGCATGCCCGGGTCGTTACATTATCTTTACCTTAGAAAGTTTGATCCATCAAACTTGTCTTACCACTCCACAATTCAACTTCGGATTCCGTTTATCATTCCATGTTCCGTTGCTCAACTAATTTCTCTCTGATACCGTAATACAAAAGGTTGATCAAATTTTTCCATATCCAAAACCCATGATCATAATAATCTGGCAAATGATCAAGCAACGTTTCTCAGGCCTTCTCAGAATTTCAATAACATAGGGCGTCACATTTCAACAAAGATCCATATAGGTCCCGAATGTCATACAAGGAAGTCATTTATACAGTTCAATCATTTGACATAAGTAGATCATAGAACAGTATCATAATTTTCATTCGGTGAACATCAAATAACTAGATTAATAGTCATCCGAATTCCAAAACTTCAAGAGGTTTTCGGTAGTGTAACAAACAATTTCTCAGTCTTACTCAAGACCCCAAACAGTTCTTATTAGTCTAGTGAATATCTCACAAGCAAGTGGTCTGACAAGGTATTATTCCGTATCAACAATGGAAGATAGGTTTCATGAGCAAAATTGGAGTAATGTCATCAGTCCATCACAATAGTCCAAAAGAAGCCATGGTTAAAAATGACTTCATAGCACAGTCAACCATGGTATGTTCCCATGTCCTTTCAGTTTCAACATAGTGCGAATTGTCATACATAACAGTAGATAGGACATTGTCGACCAACCCGGCAAATAGGAGTATAAAAATGGCCCGCGGCCCAGGTTGGGCCCGGGTCTGAGCTTATTTGAAGTGAAAGCATTGGAAAAAATATTCGAGGTTGATAACAAGGTTGAGCCAGAGCAAAAGGTGAAAATCGCCCAAGAACTAGGACTTGAACCGCGACAAGTAGCAATTTGGTTTCAAAATCGACGTACCCGTTGGAAGACCAAGCAATTGGAGAGAGATTATGGCCTGCTTAAATCCAATTATGAAGCTCTCAAAGTTGACTATCACAAACTTGAGAAAGAGAAAGAGGGTTTAATTGCAGAGGTAACTCTCTTAACTGTATTTTAACTGTATTTTTTTTTAAAAGTATGTAGCATTGTTGTTTTGAGTGTAGTGTATCATGAATTAAGTCGATTACGAAAGTTTTAAGACAGTTTATTTATGTGTTATGTTTTTGGTGTCTGTATTGCAGCTAAAAGGGTTAAGAGCAAAGCTTGGAGAGGAAAACACAGACAGCAATCACTCTGTTAAAGAAGATGCACTGTTTTTGGAGCCAGACAACAGTGTATTAGAACAGAGCAAGGCCTCTCTCACTGCAATCTGTGGACAACCAGAACTAACCAACCTTGGAAACAATGGAAACTTATTGGAGATTAAAGGCTATTTGGGTATTAAACATGGGTTATCCGATAACAATCACAGTGGAGTCTTTAATGAAGACAGTAACCTAAATGCTCAGCTACTCTCTTCTATGAATTCATCTTTGATGAATTGTTTTCAGTTCTTGGATTCAAGAGCAGTTGCAGAAAAAGGGTATTCACACCAGTTTGTGAAGATGGAAGAACAGAGTCTGTTTGGAACAGAGGACTCTGTCAATATCTTCTCAGTTGATCAAGCACCTACCCTGCAATGGCACTTTTGAAGCCTAGGGCACAACTATGTTGATCCATAACATTAAAAAGAGAAAATTGATTAAGTTGTGAGGAAGTGAGAAAGTTACTAATTTTGTCAATTAAATTTCTACACTTGTTAGCAATTTATAGATAGAAAGTGAAAGAGAGGTTTCCACTAGGTCCAGAGTCTGTAGTACTGAGAAGTAGTGGTGTTTTTTTTTTTTTTTTTCAGATGGTGGAAGTAGTGGTGTTATTTTTTGGTGACCTTTTTCATATGTGACAATGAGTTTTTGGTAGGTTTTATTTTACTGAAATACAATGTACTTGGGAAAAGTTAATTAAAAAATAAAAAAATCTACTTTAGTCCCCGAACGCTCCTTTTCATATCTAGAATTTTCAACACCCTCTGCTAAGGCAGCCCTGCCATGAAATGGTCCACTGGAATATAAGTGATCAGATGTGGAGGGTAATAAAGTTTATATATTTTCTCTATTTACAAATGTGGTGGTTGAGATGTCTCTATTATATAATGGCTTGTTTTTGAGAAGTAAATCAAAAGTTAGTTTGATATTTTTTGACAGATAATGTGACACAAAAAAAATTAAAAAAAGTCAAAAAAGAAATTTTTAGCCAAGTTATCAAAAACAAGTCAATTTGAACACTATTTCAAATACTGAAACTTCATTATTGTATGTCATATCTTGAGGAATAAAATATTTGTAAAATTTATTAATTTGTGTTGTATTTGTCAACAGAGAGTCACACATACGCACATGTAGTAATAGTGAAGTTTTATTTAACGGTTGAGATTTAATTAAAATATGAATCCCTCTTTATGATTTTAGAAATTACATTTTACTCTATGAGATTTTTAATTTCATAATAAATTATCTCTTTTATTAATAAATCATTAAGTCAATTAACAATTTTATGATGTTATAAATATGTTTCAATTAATAATTTAGATAATTTTATTATTATATAGGAAAATAATTATGATTTTTTTTTTGTTAATTCTTTTAAATAAAAAATTCTAACAATGAGATATTTATAATTTTTCAAATTATAGGAGATAATCTATATTTTAAACAAATTTCAAAGAACATATTTGTAATTTACCCTTTATTTTAATTATTAATAACTGCAAAAGTATGATAATTAGCTATCCAAGAGAGATTACGTTAACAAAGAACACCTTCTTCTGAGCAAATTATCACAATGCAAAATGCACCGCTTGAGTCATGGTCATGACCCAAGGTACATTCCTAGCGGCGAAATTGTTTTTTAGAGGGTTCATAATGGATACATTAAGAATTTTTTTTAACAATAACATTTAAATTTTTTTTTAGACTTTCCAAATCATACACAAATAAATAAATAAATAAAATAAAATTCCTATATTTTGATATCATTGTTTCACAAAAATAAAATGTAGATATAAAATTTACATAGATGTATTTTATTTTTATTACTGACATGATAAAAAAAAATCAAGAAAACTCTTTTAATTCAAATTGAAATAACCATAAAGTGTTGATCAACATTAACATTCAAGTGGTGCACTTGTTGCGAATTGCAAAATCATACAATTTTGTCAAAGAGATACTTTGCCTTGGTTTGGAATTTGGATTGAATTTTTGACTTTTTTGCTATTTTAGTCTGGAGCTAACTCTGTCGAGATTGTTAAAAACTTCGGGTCCCAAGCCCGGGTTAAGGAGGAGGGTTGTGTGTTAGATAGCCGATAGCCAACACGTAAAAAAATAGCTCAGATCTCTTATGACACTGAATCCTACTTTGAATCATTTAAATGCTTTCAAATACTGAAACTTCATTATTGTATGTCATATCTTGAGGAATAAAATATTTGTAAAATTTATTAATTTGTGTTGTATTTGTCAACAGAGAGTCACACATACGCACATGTAGTAATAGTGAAGTTTTATTTAACGGTTGAGATTTAATTAAAATATGAATCCCTCTTTATGATTTTAGAAATTACATTTTACTCTATGAGATTTTTAATTTCATAATAAATTATCTCTTTTATTAATAAATCATTAAGTCAATTAATAATTTTTAATGATATTATAAATATGTTTCAATTAATAATTTAGATAATTTTATTATTATATAGGAAAATAATTATGATTTTTTTTTTGTTAATTCTTTTAAATAAAAAATTCTAACAATGAAATATTTATAATTTTTCAAATTATAGGAGATAATCTATACTTTAAACAAATTTCAAAGAGCATATTTGTAATTTACCCTTTATTTTAATTATTAATAACTGCAAAAGTATGATAATTAGCTATCCAAGAGAGATTACGTTAACAAAGAACACCTTCTTCTGAGCAAATTATCACAATGCAAAATGCACCGCTTGAGTCATGGTCATGACCCAAGGTACATTCCTAGCGGCGAAATTGTTTTTTAGAGGGTTCATAATGGATACATTAAGAGTTTTTTTTAACAATAACATTTAATTTTTTTTTAGACTTTCCAAATCATACACAAATAAATAAATAAATAAAATAAAATTCCTATATTTTGATATCATTGTTTCACAAAAATAAAATGTAGATATAAAATTTACATAGATGTATTTTATTTTTATTACTGACATGATAAAAAAAAATCAAGAAAACTCTTTTAATTCAAATTGAAATAACCATAAAGTGTTGATCAACATTAACATTCAAGTGGTGCACTTGTTGCGAATTGCAAAATCATACAATTTTGTCAAAGAGATACTTTGCCTTGGTTTGGAATTTGGATTGAATTTTTGACTTTTTTGCTATTTTAGTCTGGAGCTAACTCTGTCGAGATTGTTAAAAACTTCGGGTCCCAAGCCCGGGTTAAGGAGGAGGGTTGTGTGTTAGATAGCCGATAGCCAACACGTAAAAAAATAGCTCAGATCTCTTATGACACTGAATCCTACTTTGAATCATTTAAATGCTTGGTCGTTCCCCTCAAGTGACGCATTAAGCCTGCCTCCGAGAGTTTTGAAAAGTGAGTAAGGGACGCCACATCGACGCATGGGTGCGGTGAAAAATAAGCAAAGGTTCCCGCGTTTTTCTGGATAAGCGCGAGTAAAAAAGTTAGTCCAAGACAATAGGTTTATGGTACCCACTTGGAACATAAGAACTTTAACTGGTAAGACGATGGAATTGGCAGATGTTATGATTAGGAAGAGAGTTAGTATAGCTTGTGTACAAGAAATTAAGTGGGCGGGTGAGAAAGTTAAGAAAATTGAGGATACCGATTTTAAACTGTATTATAGTGGTAAGGATAGATGCAGGAATGTGGTAGGAATCATAATTGCCAAGGGTCTTGTGGAGAGTGTATTGGCAGTCACTAGGAAAGGGGATAGGATTATGCTAGTTAAACTAGTTATTGAAGGGAATATAGTGAATGTTATTAGCACATACGCCCCTCAAGTAAGATTAAATAATCAGATTGAGAGGGAATTTTGAGAGCAAATGGATGAGATCTTACAGGAGATATTCGTAAGAGAGAACCTGATTATAGGTGAAGATTTTAATGGCCATGTAGGCATAGATAAACTAGGCTATGAAAGGGTGCATGGTGGATACGGTTTTGGTGATAGAAATGAGGCTGGAGAGAGTATCTTAGATTTTGCGTTGGCTTCTGACCTAGTGGTAGCCAATACTATATATAAGAAGAGGGAGAAGCATTTGATAACCTTTAAGAGTAGATTAGTTAAGAGCCAAATAGATTACTTCTTAGTGAGAAAAGTGGACCGCCTAAAACGCAATGATTGTAAGGTGATTCCTGGAGAGAACCTGACCTCTCAACATAGGATTTTGGTACTAGATTTATGTTTTAGAGGGCAATACCAAGCTAGGAAGGATGGTGGGCTTCGTAGGACGAGATGGTGGAACCTAAAAGGAGATAAACTAGAAATATTTAAGAATCGAATGGATAAGGAAGGTACTTGGGACTTGAAAGATGATGCTAACATTATGTGAAACTCGATGGTCAATTGTATGAGGAGAAATTCAAAAGAAGTGCTTGGAAAGAATTTTTGGAGAGAGCCTGACCTCTCAACATAGTGTATGCTTTTTGCAGACGATATTGTGCTGGTGGATGAGATTAGAGAAAGAGTTAATATGGAGTTGGAGATTTGGAGAAAAATTCTTGAATCTAAAGGACTCTGGATAAGTAGAACTAAAACAGAGTACATGGAGTGTAAACTTAGTAACAGTAACAATGAAAGCAGAGGAGAAGTGAAGATTGAGAATCAAGAACTACTTAAGAGTAAATATTTTCGTTATTTAGGGTCGATTATCATAACAGCGAGGGAGATTGATGTAGATGTGACCCATAAGATTAAGGCGGGATGGTGTAAACGGAGAAGTGCGTCTGGGGTATTGTGCGATAAATGAATACCCACTAGACTAAAAAGTAAGTTCTATAGAACGGCTATTAGACTAGCAATGTTATATGGGATAGAGTGTTGGGCAACCAAGAAACGACATGTAGATAAGATGAGTGTAGCTGAAATGAGGATGCTAAGGTGGATGTATGGTAAGACTAGACAAGACATAGTTATGAATGAATGTATTCGGGAATGGGTAAGAGTAGCACCGATAGAAGATAAATTGAGAGAAAATCGATTGAGATGGTTTAATTTCATGTCAATTTAAGGGTATATAAATAAGCGCATGAATCATGTTCACTGTTGTCCGGATTTTGGAATCCATATCCTCTCTCTTCTCTCTCTCTTGCTTCTCTGTTTCATTGCATTGTTCATTAGTTGATGTTGAAGCAGAGTTTTGGTTTCTTTTATTTTTCATTGGTCTCTGTTTTCCTTTATTGTAAGCTGACTGGTTCTGGGTTTGCCTTTAGGGTCTCTTTCATTGTAATTTGTCTTCCTCTTAGTTGAGAGAATAGGATCAGAAGTTGTAAAACTTGAGCGTAAATTTTTGGCTGTGTTTCTAACTCTTTTTTGAGCTTCTAAAGGAAAGGCTCATATTTGAAGTTTTATAGTTATTCCTTTCAATTATGAAACCGTTCAGTATTCCAGAAACTTTGGGTGCTATGAGCTACCCACCTCAAGGTAATTCAAAATTCTACAACAAAACCCAATGAATCTCTGTTTCTTGTATTCGATCCAGGCTTGATTCTTTATTTTTCTAAACCTCTCTATTTGTTCATGAGAGTGAAGGAACAAAGTTTTGAATCTTGTGTTTGGTGGTG